AACATACAAATGCACTGTTTTTCTATTAATTTTTTTCCAGACCAAATCAATAGCATGAATAGCTGTAATAAATAGTATTTATTTGCAACAGATCTCATTGAATAAAACTTTGCCACAGAAATGAGAGCTTCTGACGACTAAAAGCTATGACGTCGTCGACCGTGGCGGTCGGTTCAATAGTTTAATTTCGCTAAAGTTTGGTATATACCGTACGCTGTGTGTGCTAGTGTAAGTATTGGTCCTTATGACGCCAATGAGAGCGATGCTATGGACTGTAAGAATGAAATTTACTAGGGAAAATCTCAGTGACTGTGACGGTCACTTCAGAAACTCAAGATGGAATTATAACAAGCCCGCTGTCTGATTCGCCTTGAATATCTGCATATACTAGCTTAGTTTCATCAAGTTTGGTTCGGCGCGGAGCTTGGACATAATGTTCTAATGGATAGTTCTTAATTAGTCCCCTGATTTTTTTATATGTTGTAGAACTTGTCGATTACGTGTAGCCCTGTTTTTTTCGTTTTTCCGATTTGTTGTTACTGAGATATGGAATTGACATCTTTCATTTTCCCACGGAAGTCCAACAGAAATGAAAAAGTATTTTGAAAAACCTTGCCCAGCGCTCCTGCCTAGCGAGAAGCATGAGAGAGCAAAAGTATGGGAACAAAAATGATGCACAACACCTTCTGCGGGAAACAAACCGTGACAGATTTTTATTTAAAAGGGAAAAAGTTGATAACAATGAGTTTTTAATTTTTTATGATTTGAATATTCATATTTCTTAATTTTTATTGAAACAAAGATATATTTTAGAAATTTTGCACAGTCATCTCTTGCAAAAGGTGCGTGTGCATCTTATTTGTTCCAATAATTTTGCTTTTCCATGCTTTTTCTCAGTCAGGGCGCTTGGTAAGGTTTTTTCAAAATACTTTTTGATTTTTGTTGGACTCCCGAGGAAAGATGAAAGTGTCAGTTCCATATCTCAGTAAAAACAGAACAAAAAAACGAAAAAAATTGGTGTCATCTTCCTCTTCTTATTTCTATCTTCTCTTCGTCATTCCTATCTTATTTTTTTCCTTTGAAATAAAATCATTCTCTTCGAGGTTCCATGAAAGATTCGCACCGTTACGGTTGCCTAGATCGAAATCAATAAAAAGGAAAGAGAAATAGTATGTGTCGAACAGTGGAGTGTAAAACTTTGAATGGATTGCTTAAATAAATCAGTCGGACCGGAGACAGCCTTGAGAAAAAATATTATATATTAACAAATAAAGGATGCTTCATAAGTTTCGACCCATCTTGCTTTTTTAAATAATTTTATGATATTCAAAGATGTAGAGGCACGGACGATATTTATTTGGAGAGCAACATCCAAGCTATAATTCAAGAGATTTGGATCAATAAAAAATACAGGCTTAGTAAGAACATAGTAAATTTTAAAAAAATTGTTTTTCATACTTGATTATGCCTATAGAAAAACGTTGGTTACATCTAGTTTAGGATTAAAATCAATATTAAAACACCGAAAATAATCAGAGGATGAAAAAAAACACTAATAATCACGTTTCAGAATTCTTCCGTTTCAGAATAATCACGTTACATCGATTCAATACTCACCTTTCACGTTCGTTCTTTTTGTTCAAATGTTTGTATAATACGAATGGCAGCGTTGTTTTCTAGTCCTTTTTTTTCTCGTTCTCTTAGAGATATAATCACGCGTTGTGTTGTATATCTCTTACGCAATGTTTCGGTGTTAACAATGGACGTCTTTTTTTGCTATAACAATTCACATAACAACTACATTAGAAGCATTATACAACCATGCAACACTTGCATCATGTGCGACACGTTTGTGTACAATTAAGATGCATTTTTTTCTCGAGCTTCTCTACTACATGACTGTGATGGCAAGTGTCTCTCTACGTGCATTTGCTCTGCCATTTGACTACATCAGGTATTCGAATGTTCCAACTCATGATATACAACACAAAATTGTGCCATCGGTGTATTCGGCTTTTTATGCAAAGATTAACTTGGAACTACACAGATAACAAATATTCGTATTAGACAAATAATGCTTTTAGACGTTAATCCAAGACTGATGAACTACGATCAAGAGATACGTTAGAGAAACAGATGGATCGTTTAGTAAAATGATTGATAGTGGTGGCTCAGAGAAATTTGATGCTAACGACGTTGTTGTACTATCGTTTATTAACGTATTAGTATCCGTGAACACAAAAATCCCTATATAAAGAGAGTTTCGTTTAAGATACTTGTATGTTGTATAGATTTCATCATTGTATAAGAATTATTGTCTGCCTCTGTGTTTATGACAATTATTAATTCTAGATATTAAATTGAAAAAAGTATTTTAGTGAAAGACTCACCCGTGTATGTGATTTCTTCTGATTGGTCGTATAGAGTATGCATAACATTGCTAAAGATACATGACACACCTAAAGTACGAAGCATCAATCAACAATCTTATTGATCATTTGCAATATTTACTTGAAGTGTGCGTATCAATGATGTTTGTCACGATTTTTGATGTCGTATGATCAGATGTATCAGCAGCTGTTTGCACAATAGAGTTTCTAAGAAGGTATCATAATCCTTTTCTCTCTATCTGCATTTGAATGAGTGCCAGGTCGAATAGTAAATATAAACACGATTGATGTTTATTCAATTCCTTTGACAACAGACAATACTGAATGTCCTTTAACAATGCAGACATACACCATTAACGATAAAAGCAAATGAAAAGAGAAAGTGTGCAATCAATTTTTCTTTTTCAAGAGAAATGCCAAGAGACAAATGGAATGGAATCCGTTTTCAAACTTCTGTGAATGTATCTATCAATCAACCCATTGGAAGAGAGAAAAATATCTTTTTTTATATCATTGTTCATCTAACTAATTGAAGTTAAAGATAATACCAACGTGAGCTACCGTTATTAAAAAAGAATGCAGTTTGTTGTGCGGCATAAGGGGAGAGCAAGATCTTCTCGCGAATATTCATAGGATCGAGCTTCGAATTCATTTGAAAAAAATTGACGATGATTCAAGCAGAAGCAGCTCAAAGATAAAACGAGTGTTAAAGAGTTAAGAGAAGAAAAAAACCTTTCTTCCGATATAAACACAGTCAAAGAATTACGCGGACAAAAATTACATTGTGTTGAATACGATGCCGCGTTGTCTTCTACCCAGAAAAATACTCAACGCCTCGATCTTGACAGAGACTTCCTTTTTTTCATTTGAATGTTGATCAAACCATAAAAAGACATCGAGGTTTCAAGGAGTTGCTTTCTTTTAAAAAAATCTGGTTTATTTTTAGCTTTCTGACTTCTCTCACATATCGATCGTATGAGTCGTACATTTATTGATATTGATCTTGTAATCAAGTTTTGGAACTATAAGAACGTAAGATAATTGGTTGATTTATAATTTATTCTATAATGTGTATATTTCAGTTTTTGCATTTATGCAAGTGAGTAGTATTTTTTAAATATTAAGTAGCTTTGATTGAAATCTCATTCATAGATATTCGTTGCTACGAAACATCCAGTAAATCAAAATATACTATGACGAGTTTTTAAATAAATATATACGTTTACTTATCTTTTTACGAAGAACTGAATTTTTTTCAATGTACAAGTGCACTGTGAGATTTAGACGGCACTGCTAAGGAAAATCTGTTCTTGATAATCTTACTATAAAAAAACATACCAAGTGAAAAAAAATTCAATAAATATTCTTTTTCCTCGATGTGGATGACAAGTATTATATTGCAGTAATTTAATTGACTATGGTTAATGCCAGCTCCGACAAATCTTTTGTTATCGTATCTTGTTGTTGTTGCTGTTGTACTAATAGGGCTTTTAATTCATCTGTCAATTTCGTTTCAATTACAGCTTGTCTTAGCGTTTGTTCTCCGTTGTTTTTAAAATATTGATCAAAATATCTTGAACTATTTCTTGATTAATTGCACTGTTAATAGTAGTCTGACCGCGAGGATGATTTTCTGTTACAGAATGATCACTTGTGATTGAATGACGATTCTGAAAAACTTCGGATTTCAATAATCCATTGAAGAATGATAATCTACCAATATCTAGTGGTGTGTCATTTATCAAAACACTTCCTTCAACATCATAAATATTTTTTATAAGATGCGATAGATCCATGGCTATAAAAAAGAAAATTTCGTTTTTAAAACATTACTTAAAAAATTTTTTGCAACTCATATCACTACATTGAAATGATAACCTAAAAGTACCAATATTTGGTAGTTTTATTTCAGGCTCGATTTCTGGTTGTCGTTATCCATCTCGATCATTGTCACCTATAAATAAAGTTTTCCACCATAACCAATTATTTTCTTCTTGCTTGTTCATCATCATTATCACAAAGTGACATAGTGAACAGCAACACAAAATGTTCTATCTTTGATGGTACTACATTGGCGTCAGATGATGGAAAAAATTCATTTTTTAATACAATATAATCGTAATATGTATGTAATTCATCTTGTAAAATACGATTGTCACCTTCATCACTATGCGTATTATCGATGACATAATGCATTTCAAATTAACGTTCCTAAACAACAAAATCCTAAGACATTTTGGTTTTCTGGCACTGTTAGGTACTCGTCTTCATATGATCAAGAAAAGACCTCTCATCATGTCAACGTAAAAACTGCCTTCGGAGAAATCAGCCTGTGGCTATACTCCTTGTATCCGTCGATTCTGCCAATGTCAGCTTTGCAACTATCTTTCCATTTAGAAACCTACAAAAATTAGATTTTTCGAGATACCGCCAGATTAATAAACACATCTAAAACACAGTGTGTTATGATCAGCAATGTTATGATCTCATTGTTATCTTTGAATCACAAAAATTTTTCAATTAATTAACTAAAACATTGTTGGTGAATACTCTCGCAGTTGCTCAATTCTTGTTATGATTCAAGAATTTTTCACATTTCCCACTACAGTACAGATGTTTCTCCTCTGCTCCTACTCCTATCAATCAGTATCACAATTTCTAAAACTTAAAATACAATAAAATCGAGATGTTGTCGAACAATTCTTTATTTTTAGCCAATCTAATTTTCTCTAGGTAAAACTTCTAGCCACTGGGCACCAATAAACAACAGTGTCGATGATATTTTATTGGCTACACGAATTAACTGGTAACAAATATTCGGATATTCAATTACCGAGCTTTTTAAGGCAGCACAATTTTAGTTTTGGCTGTTTAGTCTCATTCCAATTATCATCCGATAACTGACTCACATCGTTATTTTTCTTCACTATCTCATCATAGCTGGGAGTGGGTGATTTACCTATCAAAGCTTTCCTTGGCCCAAATCGATCTGTGACATGCGTGGCTTAATCTTCAAGGTTACACAAAATTACTAACAAGATCATTCAGAATCACCGAATACAACATCTCTTTTTACTTACCAGAGTTCTTTTGTGAGTTGATTTTCTTGTTACTGTTTGAATAAGGGAATGATTGATTTCATAACGAGCATCCTTTTTCAAAATGTGTTTTGCTTCATTTAATGATTCCGAATAGGGTTCCAAAATATTGAGATTTTGGATAAAATAATGTTCAGAAACACCGGTATTCAACAGTTGACAAGCTAAATCCAACCACATATTTGCCAATTTTATTGTCAATTGATCATAATCTGTTGAAGTACTATCATTTAACTTCGATAATTCACATAGCCACAAAACGCTTGTTGTAATAAAATAAGAGGGAATATGACCTTTTTCATGTAAATAACTTACTTCGTGCTGTACCATTCAGTATTTGTTCACTCTGTGTTCGTTCTTTTGCTAATATAATTTCCTGATGAATAACGAAATTCAATATTTTGATACAAATCGGCACTTTTTCTCTACCCTATAGAACGAACGTAAGAAAAAGAGAACGTTGTGACCTTTACTGGCAACAGGTTGATTTCTTTTTTTTCTGATGATCAACAACAGGTTTATTGCTCGCTTTCGTCTATGTCGTGAACACTACACTTACTGTAGGCACAAGAAAAAAGAATTATTTTTAACTCACATTTTGGTATGACGTGCATATGTGTTGACATTAATTTCTGGAATAATAATGGTTTCTTTACCATATAAGCAGATTGAATTCGTTTCAATGCTGATTGAATATCATCTGACTAAAAATTTAATTTTAATCCTGGTACATAATCGATATTATTATTAAACAATTGTGTTTCATATTTAAATACATCTTTAGATAATTGTCGATTAAGTATTGTATGCTTGTATTTTAAATAAAACTGAACAATAGCTGTTGCTTTTCGACGAATATCACTAGAAAGTTGATAACCAAATGCTGGTGAACACAGATGCATCATATGTTCAAAAAATTTCAGATTCATGAAAGATTGTATACGATTTTCAAAATGTTTGAAGTAATGTAATCAATGGTTGTGCTCGTTTCCGCATATTCTGTAACACTAGATAAAAATTTTGACGTCGCTCATTCTGCAAGATTGATGATTCAAGTTGAACACGTTTCAAACACACATAGAATTCTTTTGCTAATGGGGATACACCTTGATTAGTTGTGATAACTTCTGCACTTGCACTTGCTGAGTCCGTCTTACTTTCATATGTACGTATATTTTCAGTTGTATGCGTATAGAAGTGATATTGTTTCAATTTAAAACCGTTGATACAATTCACAATATCTTGTCGTTGATAGGATAACTTGGATATCGAATTCCATTTGACATAAACAAAACCGGGATATAACTTTTTTTGTTTGTTTATCGTATGCTGGTATTAGATCATCTGACTGATTAATTTCACCATATTGAATCATTATGTCAATGTCGTGCACACCACCACATAAACTTTTACGGTAAGCTTGACCTTCAATAGTAGACCCAGTCAGAAAATACGTTAAAATACTGCCCAGTATGTCGTCCATTGTGTCACCGTTTTTATTTAAGAAACAAAATAATTTATATTTTGGTTATTTTCACTCTCAGGGAAAGAACTGTAAAAAGAAAGAAAAGATTCTTCAAATTTTTATTACAAAATATTTTCGTGCTTATTTATCAACATTCGTTTGGCTTACTACAAACTTATGATTTTCTTTTCTTTTGTTTCTCTCAACGAAAATTTTTACATCGTTCATTCTGCAAGATTGATGAGACCTGATTGGTTTGAGACTAAGCTTTTTCTCTTTTATTTTGTGTAATCGTTTATATTAAAAAGATTTATATTGAAAATATTATTTATGTGCCTTTATCGCTTAATTTCGAACATGAGTAATCAAAATTTTAGTGTGGGTATTTGTAGTATTTGTGCGTGAACAAATGGGTTTTTTGTCTGCTATGCGTTAAATAAGCCAAGAAGGAACATATGATAAAAATAGAAGAAGCATCCATCACTGGAAGATCTGAAATTTAGTAACGATTTGAAACTGCGTAATAATTCAAGGGAAAAGGTAGGTAAGTATCCGATGAAGGATGATCTCACTCCACTGCAAAGACAGTGTACTTTTTTCAATTAACGTTCTCCCCACAAATCGGTCGTGTAGCCAGAAGCCCATAAAGTCGATTCTGTTCCATTGAGAAGAAAGTACACATTGTGGAAAGCACAGGTAGCACTTAATAATGCGTAGTGTACGCTAGAGGAAGAAGGAAGAATACCCCGCCTTTCGGCTACCTTGCGGTGTAGGGTGCTGCCAGGAGGCAGTTTCGTAAGCCCGATATCTTCCCTACAACTAATACTAGCTGTAGCTCTGGACAGAAGGCCAGCCTGACTCAGAGTTCTTTCGCTCAATTGCTTGAGCTCCCCGTACACACTGACTAACCACATACTAGCCGCGAAGGCCGGCGTATGTCACAACGTAGTCAGCATGCTATCGGACGGGTGGTCCGAGGCAAGTAGCCGTTAATAACTTGCCCAGGGTCATTCCACGTCTGGTGGCGCCGAGGCTAGAACACAGTACCTTGGGGTACGTGCTGAACAACTTAACCACTCAGTCACAGCGGCTCAGTACGCTAGAGAAGAGATTTCTTTATCTTCTTTTTCGTTTATCGGCAAGTCTATCGTGGTACTTTGTAACTGTGTTATTGTTTTTGATATACTTTCGACCGACCAACCATTGTTTCTCTCTCAGAAAAAAACCTAAGCAAATACAAAGAATACTTTCTTCGTTGTTGTTTGCTATAGTTATACATGATGAAAATGCTAATGTCAACAAACAAATTAAAATGAAAACAAATAAACAACAAAAAAAACCAAATAAGTTACAGCATATTATTTGACGGCGCCTGTTATTAGTACACAATTGCACAATTCTTCTTGAAATCTACGAATGATGCTGAAAAACTTCGTCTTATTTTCGTACTCAAACTCCGTCTTATCGATGTTTGAACCCAGGTAAAAAAATCAGATCAAGATCTTACACGATCGTATAAAATCTTACGGAAAATTATATAAACGGATTCATCTTGTCAAATCTTATAAAAATCATACAAGAATCTTGCGAAATCTAATGAAATCTTACTATAAGATCTTACATTAAGAATCAGTTTCTATATTTCTTACAGAATCTTACTAATTTTTATATGAATCTTACGAAATCAGACGGAATCGTACAAGAATCTTATAAGATCTTACAGCAAGATTCTTTGGCCTGGCAATACTTTAACTTTTTTCTTCGATGAAACTGCTCATGTAAAAATAGCAGACAAAAACAACGCTCAGAAGCTTGTTTTTGGGGAAGTGTGTGTGTGTGTGTAACGGTGACGACACCGTTACAAATACTTTTCAAGTCGAAGTCACTATCATCGTCAGTGTGCTGGTGACTGAATTCAACAATAAAATATGCAATTGTTGTTTGGACTAGCGCCACGATTTCAATGAGGAAATTGACAAAACATGAAATCGGCAAAAAAAGACAGTTGCTGTGTTGCAATCAAGTTGATCTGGAACCAACTTGATTGTAGAAAGGACGTCACCCGTTTTTGCGAAAGTCTGGTTAAGAGAAAACTAATCCTGTAGCTAACTATAGTATTGCTTGGCACATTTCAGTCTGCTGCTGTTTTTTTAATATTCCTTTTTATTGAAGAGAAATATAATATTTTCTTAGTAAGATCTCAAAATATGGTATGAATCGAAATAAAAAGCGTATAACTCGATAACCTTAACAGATTTCAAAATTCGGTTTTCACCAGAAATATCTTCATTTAATTCTGCACAAATTAGCCCAAACTGTTTAAAACTATCCGTTATTCTTGTTGAACAAATATTCGAGACAAGGGCTGAAAATGAGAAAAGTGAAAATTTTTGAAAAAACTAAACTTGTACTAACTCCGTCGGCTAGCTTTGTTTCAAAGCCAAATTTGCCAATTTACCAATTTGCCATTTTACCAATATCCGAACAGTAAGTTGATTCAATTGTTCTTGGGGAACTAGCTCAGGTCGTCCACCTCTTGATACAAATTTTAATTTTTCCATGACTTTAGTCAAACGGAAACGGTCTGATGGGCACGGGAAAAACGCCATAAGTAATACATCTACTAATCAAAAATCGGATCCCAGCACCTCACGCAGCTGGTGTCTAGTTTAAAATAAAACCAATCCGAGATCTCTAGCTTGAAGTATATTTAAAAAAAGGATTCCACACTGGGCATGTTCGAACAAAAACG